TATTTCATTAGCTTCTTTTTTTTTGAGAAAATTTTATATGACTTAATTGATTGATTTTTAACATGATTATCAAATCTATCATTTTTTTTTTCAAATTCACGATTCAATTGGATAAATTTATAGATATAACTTTAGTAATGACTAATCTGAACATAGCTCAATAGATTAAGGTAGTTATATGTTAGGAGGTGGTGAATTTGAATTTCCACCTTCAACTAAAATAAATGGTAAAAAAAATACCTTTCCAATCCATAAAAATTGAATAGAGCATATGCATATTCCAAACAGATTTCAAGAAATATTGCAGAAAATTTTGTGCATATAAATTAGAAAGTTGGCTTTTTTTCCTCTTCCCCTACGTGGCCATCAAGAAACACATCACATGGTTGTCCCTTTTTTTCTCATTAATTAGGCTATGCACAAATAATTTCGAATATTTAATACCAAATTTAAATCGTTCACCACAATTTTCTTATCAGAAATTTAAAAATAAAACCGTTTAAAGGGTTCAAAAGAAACACAATCCTTTTCATTAATGACATTTTTCTGCTACATTATTATAGCCCTTTTTTTACCAATTACTTTTGAAACTACTTCCAAAACTAATTATATTAATTAAAACGTTCAATGGAATTGATAATAATTTGTTTATAGTTTAATACGAATTTATTAAAAATATTAAAAGAATTATCCTCAACAAATTTAATATTAATATCAGTATAAGTATGCTTCAAGTTTATAAAAGATTGACAAAATATCAGCACAAATATTTAAAGATATCAAAAATTCACTCACTTGATCGACTTAATTAGTTAAGATACGAGTAATTTCCTTTTAAATAATGATGATAGGATTAAAATAAAGTTACAAAAATCTCACAAAAATTGTAACTTTCTAAATTACAATAAAAAGTCATACCATGGAGAGACGGTTTAAGTTTTCATCCATGTATTATTATTTTTTTATTTATTGTTATTCACATTAGTAAATATAAAAATATATCGTGGCTCATATTGATATTTTTTTTACAAAAATGCTAGATAAAATTTTCAAGTCTCTCTTTTTTTTAATATAAATTGTACAGTTCTCAATTAATTTTTAACATGTTCTAATTAAGAAAAACTTATATTAATGAATATACTTGTCTTAATTACAACTGATTAAGTATTATCTAAAAAAAAATACAACTGATTGATCTTTTTCATGGAAAGGAATGCAGAAAATAAAAAGGAAAATATCAGTTGGTTTGAAATATCAATTCGAGATTCAAATCCCTTTATCCTCCCTCTTTCATTTATCAAAAGAAAAACAATTTATCAGTGTAATTTTAACTTTTATTCATTTTGATCTAGATATCTATTTTGATTATGTATTTTTTACTTTTGTTATTTAATCTCTATAAATTCAAAACGTTGATGTACTTTTAAAAGGTAACTATGTTGGTTTCATTTTGTAAAATTCTAACACAAATTTTATATAGAATGAAATCAATTTAATACAAATGTATAGATACATTTTAAGAAATTTAATGGATAAAGTATCATGTTGCAATTTCGAAAAAAAGAAAAAAGAAAAAATTGAAAGGGAAGGAACTAAAATGATCACTTTTAAAAGTACATAAATCAAAACAAACATTTTGAAAATACGTGGACTAAAATGAATAAAAGTTAAAATTACAGAATCAACATTTTTATTGCCCTGCTTAAATTTATTAATTTATTTTGAAATCATTAAACAAAAATAAAAAATAAATTATAAGAAATATTTGAAAAGAAAACCTCATACAAATGTCTCATCCACGTGTACAATCGGAAATTAAAAAGTCGGAAATTAAAATATCTACATATGTGCACAAAAATAAGTATGAAAAAAATAAATAAAAATAAAAACAGTTGAGAGTTGGAGAATTAAATTTAAGGGTAGTTGGACTGATTTTTAAGAGGTGATAGTGAGGCACCTACAAATTGTGCTTATTTATTGCACTTAGCCCCCTTTCTTTTTCTACGACTTTTCCACCCTTTAATTCATCTAATCTAATTATCATCGTTCCTGAAATGATTTCAATACTATTTTAGTTTTTATATTTTTATATTTTTATTTTAGTTTGTGTAATTAATTTTTGTTTTTGTTATTTTAATCCATATATTCTCAAAATATTATTTTTATCCACATACTTTTAAAAATATATCACTTTGAATCTTTTATCTTTTTTTTTGGAGGGGTGAATCTTTTATCTTTATTTGCAATATTTTAATACAAATTTTATATACAGTGAGAACTCTTTAATACAAATTTATGACTACATTTAAAAAAAATTTAATGAGTGAAGTATCAAACTAAAATCTTGATTGAAATAAATGAGATAAAAATGAAATAAATAAATTAAAATTGTCACTTTTCTAAAAGTACATGAACCAAAATTAACGTAAGAGTTACATAGACTAAAATTAACAAAGTTTAAAAATATAGGAACCAAAATAAACATTGTGAAATTACATGGACCCAAATGAACCAAAGGCAAAAATATAATAATCAAAATAATATTTAAACCTCCTATATTAAAAAAAAAGTTAATTTCTTATTATTATTCTTATTTTCATGTCTTAGGTAGTAAATAGAAATTATTATTTTACTATTATTGTTTTTATTTCTAAGCTAATGCTATAAATTTGACGATGAGATTAAAATCTTTCCACTTATAAAAAAAATGTCAGCAGTATTTTAACTAATTGAATTAGTAGTGTTTACCAAAAAAAAAAAAAACTAGTAGTGAATTTGAGATAGCTTTTAAAGAAGGAAAGAAAATCCTTTGAGTGAAAACAAGTCTAAAGTATAAATAAAATTTAAAATATATATCTGTCTTAAAAAAAAAGAATATACATATATACACGCACACACTTTTGAAGGGATAGGATATATTTTTTTAATTTATAACTTTTTAAAATACAATTTATCAGTTGGTTTAATTACGACATATTTAAATCATTGGGATATGCCTGACTTATAAGAAAAGTCAAACATATTGAAAAACAACCGTTCGTTTGTGATATTATAATATGGTATACTTTTGACTTTTAAATTATAATATTTTAATCTTCGTTAACTTTATATACCTGAAAGAACATATACAGAATTTATTTTTTTTTCTTTTCTAAAAAATATTATCTTATCACCCATAATGTTTTTCAAAAGTAATAACAATGTTTATGCTGAATTCTGCCAAGGACCAAAGGTCGGCCACATTAGACTCGAACGAGTTAAAAAAGAGCGAGCAATGCTATGAAATATCTACACATAAAAAATACACTCCAAAGTTTAAGTTGGTCTAAGGTCAAGCTCAGTAAGTCCGTATCAGATAGAAGAATATACATGATTAAGAGGAATGAGTGTCTTTTTATAAGCATATGGAGAGGGACGAGTTTATTATGGCTATTTCAACAAGCAGTTAGGCGGTTACAGACTGTCGGGTCATATGTCAACAATACCATAGTTTGGAGGTGTAGCTTTGCGAAGATCATCTATGTTCCTCCCGAACTTTATAGGTCAGCATATGTCATAGATCAAAATGTATACCTTATTTGAACAAGTTGAGATAAATCTACCAAGCTATCATGATTGGTTCACGTGGCAGGTCGGTTTTTTTAGCTGACTTTTAAATTTATTAAGAGCCTAAAAATAGATTAGTTTAATAAATGCATTAATTGTTCAACATTAGAGCTCCATAAATATGTTATCATGCAATAGATAATGAAGTATTTTTTTTTTTAGAATATAATATTACAATTTTAAAAATGAAGATGTGAAGAAAATTATTAAATTGTTAGCTATGCCAACATAACTAATATATATAGTAATTAATTAATTCATAAATTACAATGGGCATGGAGTCGATTTTTTTTTATGATAAAAAATTTAGTCAATTAATTAGTAATAAGCTGAGTTACTAAGCTATGCTTGAATCATTAATTGGGTTATCCTGATTTATAATATAATTAATTAATATATAGCTAAAATATTTGTAAACAGTACAATAAATTTCCACTATTACCTTGTTGTTAAAAAAAAATTAAAACATTTGTAAATTTCTGAATTTAAGACATTGTCTTTGGGCCATAAATTTGATGATTTGGGCCAGGTTGTGTAAGATCCAAAATTCTCATGGAGTGCTCGCAGCCCAGCCCAAGCCCAATAAATATCTCAAATTTTGTGAAACTCAAACATCTCAACTCTAATAATATTTTTAAATTAGTATTGAATTTCTTTTTAGTTTTACAACGGGACAGTAGATTCGAACTCATGATCTCTATGGAAACTTTCATAAACAATCTTTGTTTTTTTGATGATTTTTTCACTGTTCACAACACCACTTTCCACACCTCCGGATATATGGTGTTCGTCGCCTGTTTCCTTATTTCTTTCATAATCAAGTTGGCTATCTTTGTGGCATCGATTGTACAAATTCGTGAATAAGGTTGGACGAGTTGAATGAGAAAAAGCGACTAAATCGGCAAAAAAGAAGAGAGGAACCTCTAGAACCTAGTATTGAATCTTGAATGCACGTCACAAATGAAATCATCATCATTATCATTTTTTTATAAAACACAGTTATTTACTAAAGATATAAAATTTATGTTTCCAATTATGAAACAAAATATCTATAAAAAAGATAAAATATTTGAATAAAAATAATAAAAGAGGTTAACTTGAGTTTATTTTGTATTTAAAAAGGTTAGTTTTTGTCTCGTACTTTCATCTTTGGTTCATTTTAGTCAATGTAATTTCAAAAGATTCATTTTTTATCTCTGTACTTTGCAAAAGCTACCATTTTTATTCATTAATTTTATTTTTAATATCGTTTTTTCTATCACAATTTCAGTACGACACTACAATCAATATATTTTTTAAAATGTAAACATTGCTTTATATTAAAGAGTTCCCGTTACGTATAAAATTTTGTAAAGAGGCACTAAAATGACCACTTTTAAAAAATACAAAGATGAAAATAAACATTTTCAAAATATAATGATTAAAATGAACCAAATTCAAAATTAGAGATTAAAATGAACATTTTTAATATTAAGGACTAAAATGAAAATTTTGAAATAACAAGGACTAAAATGAATTCTAAAATATAGTTAGGTGTTGACCCTAACCAAAGAACCTAAGATTTTTCAAAAGTATAGAGACAGGAGATTGTTCATAAGAAAAAGTTCTGATTGTGTGAACTTACGTGCCGTGGGCTGGGGCGGTAGTATTGATCTGATCATTTGATCATGCGCAGCCGCAGCCGCAGCCGTCCACTATTAATCCAAGTTTGAAGACTGAATTCGAGTTCTTCCGAACAAAATCGTCAACCCTTCGCCGCCTTCAATCCAATCGAAGTTCTGCCGGAATTCGCAATGAGAAAAACCGGAAGAGGAGGGTGGCGGGATGATCAGAATCGAACCTGGGTCGCCAAACACGGGAATCAAACACACAATCACTCTTCTTCCTCCGCCCCCCAACGCTCCGACCTCAGAAATCGTCCTTATACCAGTCGGAATTCCAATTACGCGTCTCCTAGTCGCCGCCCCCACGCCTCCCGTTCCCAGTTTGTCCAGAAAGCAGAGGCGAATGCTTTGGCTGATACAGTAGAATCTTTAACTTGTGATGAAAAGCATGATACGGGTTCGAACAGTGAGATTAAAGAAGAGGGAATTGGAAATTCGGAGTCAGGTGAGGCCAGGGACGATGTTTACACTAGGTTGGAGATGCTGCAGCTAAATTCTAAGGAGCCGGAGTTGTCGGAGGAGCAGCTCAGGATCAACGATCAGTTGCAGGAAGATGAGGTATCTGATTGTCATAAATTGCCACTGATTTTGCAAAATTGATTTTGGCGAATTCACTTTCTACAAGAGGTGTACCCTGTTTGTTCTACGTTCAATTTTGAACTATTTTCTCACATAGCTATGACAACAATGGGCATTTCCTGTTTTATTTTTGAATTCTTGGTAGTTGCTGGCTTTGGAGTCCATATATGGAGAAAATGTATACATTCTTGATGAACAAAGAGGGCAGCACTGTTTCCAGGTTCAAACCTGATCTATCCAATAAATTTATAATCGTTACATCCAAAATACTTTGGATCATAAACTTTACTTGGCTATTATTCTGCAGATTTCCATTCACATTGAGAGTCCTGGTGAAATTTCTGTTACTGCAAAGCTTAACTCACCTGGTGCTGTTGAGATCAAAAGTATTAATTCTGATGACTTCTCTTGTTCTTTCAAAGTCAAGTATCTTATCCCCATTGTTTTAACCTGTTTATTACCTAAATCATATCCTAGTCACCTACCTCCATATTATACGATCTCCATTCAGTGGTTGGAATCTGCTAGAATTTCCAGTCTTTGCTCCGTGCTGGATGGGATATGGACTGAACAAGTGGGGCAGGAAGTTGTATATCAATGGGTAGAATGGCTACAAATGTCTTCTCTGGCTTATCTTCAGCTGGATAAAGAGATAACGCTTGGTCCTTATGACAAGAGACATTCAGGAGATGTGCGTGCAGTTTCAGGAAGCGTTTCTCCAGAAGTTGATGTTCCTGCAATAAAAAATTACGACAATCAGAAACGTGATGAGGACTTCTGCATGAACTTGCAGGAATGCTGCATCTGTTTAAGTCAGTATGCAGGTAAGCTCCATTATTTGCTCATGATAAGATTCTAGTGTTCTCAAATCTCAAAGTACTTCAATTTACTAGCTTTTCCTCTCCCCTCTCTGAGGCTGGAGAGAGTTATATTCGTAAAGAGAAAACAAATTATCCGTACACAATTTGACGATTAAAAACAGCAATATTTGCCTAGTTAGGAATAGGAAATGACTCTGCCTATTTATTAATGGATTCTCGTTCAACTCATGCACAGATGGATGTCGCCAATTTGCTTTACAGAATGTCAGAATAACTAATTATCTGCTTATAAAGGTGGCTTTTGTTTTGGGGTAAATCAACATAAGCAATGTTTTCGCATTGGAGAAATAAGTGGGAAAAGAAGTCCTTATCTGATCTCCTTGTGCAATTATATTCTCTCATAGAAATAGAACCACTCACTTCAAACTTCAAAGGGAAAAAAAACCACTCACTTCAAACTTCAGAGAATACTATTGCACTTCCCAAAACCCCATTAAATGAAATGGAACCATGGACTTATCCCAACAAAAGTTTCATGATGATCCAAGTTGAGATATTCTAATTAGCTGATCCAAGTTGACAAAAATCCTCTGAAATAGTGGTACCCCAACTTTTGTACATCTATAGAGTCATGTAATTGCTGGATTGTGGGAATGCCATCAGTTCTGCTCTCTTTCAGTCTGTGTAGAAGTCTTACTGTTGGTTGTAAACTTGTAGCTCTGGCTACTTTGTTTTCTTGGTTGGACTTAACCAGGTACGAAGTTTGTAAGATTTCCATGTAAGCATTACTTTTGTTGGAAATGCTTGGAGACATACTCAAGAATGCATGTCAAGGAAGGCACCATAAGCAAACTCAAATGTCCAGATGCCAAATGCGATGTTATGCTGCCTCCTGGTCTGTTGAAGCAATTACTTGGTGATGAAGAGTTTGAAAGATGGGAATCCATGTTGCTCACAAAAACACTTGAATCAATGTCAGATGTGGTCTATTGCCCTAGGTGTGAAACCCCCTGCTTAGAGGACGTAGATCATGATGCTCAATGCTCAAAGTGTTTCTTTAGTTTTTGTACACTCTGTAGGGAGCGACGTCATGTCGGAATTGAATGTATGACTCCAGAAATGAAGCTTCTTCTTCTTCAGGTGAGCTAAGTACTAAGTCCACCCAATCAATTCATGTGCATTTTCCTTTCTTGTGGGGATGTTCATTATCATTTTATATTTATCCTTAGAATTCCACCTTTTACATTTATTAACCTTGTTAACTTATTATTCTCACTTTATGCCACAGGAGCGTCAGAATTCATCTCAGTTAAGTAATAATCAAAGACAAAAGGAACGCGAGATGATAAATGAGCTTCTTAGTGTCAAGGAAATTCTTCGTGATGCCAAGCAATGCCCGTCTTGTAAAATGGCTATATCTCGGACTGAGGGTTGCAATAAGATGGTGTGCAATAACTGTGGACAGTATTTCTGTTACCGATGTAGCAAGGCAATTGATGGATATGATCATTTCAGGTTTGTTTATGCAAACAAGCATTAGTTTAGTGCTGATTTCTTCGTGATTGGTTCATGCTTAGCATAAATTATGCAACTCCCATGGATAGATGAATCTAACTAGCCAATCTTAAATGAAGGGAGGGCACATGTGAACTGTTCCCACAAGAAACCATTCAACAGTGGGAAGAACGCATGAATATACGGCAGGTGATGGGCCAGATCCAAGCAGAACTTTTTCCTGAACATGGTCATCCATGTCCTAATTGTGGTCAACTTAATGCCAAGGTGAGTATGAATAGGGCTAGGGCACATTTACTTTTCGATGTCAAGGTTTGCTAGTTTTTCTGTTTTCTGACACTAGTATAATGTCTTGCAGTAGGCTTGATTTACTTTTGGCTGAGCTATCCAATGAAAAAAAAGAAATGCATTTTTAGGGGTAAAAAAGGTCATAATCTGCAACTTTTGAACTATTATCACTCATCTAGTCTATCTAGATTTCATGATAGTATAGCACAAGATTTTACCATTTGAGATATTATTGAGAGTTGATATCCTTTTGTTTTTTAATGATGTTATTCAACTTAGGATCCAGAGTTTCTTTTCCGATAGGGAAAATAGGACCTACCATTTGAGCAATATTTTGGGTGTAGTGTTATTTCGGGAAAGATTGGATCTCTCCAGTTATCTTGCTCCTAATTGTTCAATCATTCAAATGGTATTATTCTTCAACCTTAGTTTTCCCATAGCGATTGATTCGACCTCTCTAACTATCGTTGTCATATGCTTCATTGAGTTTTGGATCAAGCTATTGATCTTTTCCTCTCGAACCTCTATTCAATTCCATCTGTGCATGTTTGGCTGAGCATGTCGGGCTTCATGAACGATCAATTCACCGAGTCCCAGGGCTTGATCTTTTTCCTACATTATTCTGTTTATTGTTGCTAAAAATTTGGTTACTCTAGATCTTAACATTGCTGCTGTTTTTCAAATGAATGGACAGGTTGGGAATAACAATCACATACGTTGCTGGGCATGTCAAAATCACTACTGCTATTTATGCAGAAAAGTTGTGAAGCGCAGCTCCCAGCACTATGGTCCCAAGGGATGCAAACAACACACAGTGGATTGATTTTTAACTTTTCGAGTTCAACAGAAACGCTCAAAAATAATTGGTGCTTTTACCAGAACCTTCAGATTGCCATATTTTGTAAAGCTTTTATTTCTTTTAATACTTGAAAGCTGTAATATTTTCCACCTTTTTTTAATTTCTCCTTTCTTCATTTTTGATCGAGAGACAATGCTAGTTCTAATTTAATATTCTAAAGTTTCATCGTATTCCCGTTTTTTTTTTTTTTTTTTAGGGTTCAAAGTTTAACATTTTTCGTTAATTAATTACGTATGGTGGATGTGGATGGTAATTAACGATAAAACAAGTTTTGTCAAGACAAGTAATATAAAATTTTAAATTTTAAAAGCTAAATCGAAAATAATAATAACTTTTTGATCAAAATACTATTTTGGTCTATATACTCCTTCAATTTTCAAAATATTCATTTTTATCTCGATACTTTCAATTTTAGTTCATTTTAGTTTCTGTAATTCAATTTTAATTCATTTTAGTTTCTGTATTTCTAAAATCTTAGTTACTTCGAGACGATTCTTTAACATAAAATAATTGTTACATAAGAAGCTAAAAGTGTTACCTTAAGAGTGATAAAATGAACATTTTAATAGTAAGGGATTAGTACATTGATAGACCATTTAAAGATCCTAATTACATAAAAGGATGAAATGTATAGAATTTACACATTTGTCATGTATCAACCCTAGAGGGTACCCATCATATAAATTACTTAAATAGCCTCTTGTATTTACAAATTAATTTTAAATTCATTTTAATGTGCAAAATTGATTAATTAGAAGGTTATAATTTAGATCCCATAATTTTAGGTTAATGATACTTTCCAAAACAAATTAAAATACCAAAACATTAAAAACAAAACCCTAAATTCCCAAAATTGAAATCATAACCTCCCAAAATATCTCCAAACCCCGTCCAAAAATCTCCCAAATTCGAAATCAAGAACTTTTTTCGCTTCATCCATGAGACGTTTAAAATTTCAATTTTGGAGGACAATTTCTACATTACTATGGGATATATGCGTTTATATCTTATATACAGCTATAAGATATATACACATACAATATATATCTATATATACGAATATAATCAGGAATACTAAGAATATAAGACATTTAGAACTACAATTTTCTATACACATAAACAAAATATATCCCCCATATATACCAATCTTAACGGAAGACTAATAATTACAAATAGTATGGAGGACCATTTCTACAGAACTATAAGATATATGTATACACATATAAGATATATTCACATATATAATATATACTTATATATACAAATATAATCAAGAATACTAACACTGTGACATACATAAAATATATCCCCATATATACCAATCTCAACGAAAGACGGAGACAAGAGACGAGGAACACGACGTCGGAAACGTCCAAAGACGTCGACAGAAAGTTTATTCAGCGACAGAAATTGAAGGTTTGGACGTGTTTGGGGAAGAAGAAATCAATACCTCGTTGATTTGGTGTACAATGAACGACGTTGGAAACTTGCAAAGATGTCGACGGGAATGAACGGCGTTGGAAACGTGCAAAAGAAATAAATACCTTGTTCATAAAAGCCCTGAAGATGGAAAATGAAGGTCTAGCAACCGACGTCTTTCCACCTTGGAAACGAAGACAGCGGTGAAGAAAATCGGCTTTGCACGGTGGCTCGAGAAAATCTATAGCAAACGAGGAAAGAGAATCGGCAACATTTAATTCATTTAACAAAATTGGAAGTTGTTAATTGGTGAGAGAAAAAAATTTTTTTTAAAGGAGATTTGTGGAATTAAAGTTGAAATTTTGAATGGAGCCCACAAGAATTAAATGAATATAATTACAAATTAAGAATACAAATCTTTAAAATTTAAAAATTATAATAAAATAAAAAACAATAAATAATGGTAGAAACGGTATTAAAATAAAATCCTAACTGCAAATATCTAAAAGTGTAAATTTTGAAACCTAAAGACATTCCTGTAATTAAGATTTTAAAATAACCCTCCCAAGATATTATCTGGGATATTATCTCTAATAGTAAAGTCAATGGGGATAGAAGGATCTATGCTTTTTGTCTATATATAACGTTTCTTATAAAAAAAAATCCCCAGCAAAGTAGTTTTCTCACAGTTGTGACGAACCAAACCCAAGTAAGAACAAGGACATAAAGGACCACCATCTCCGCAAGTTGGAATCATCAAAACTATAGAAATCAAGATATAATCACCCGACAGTAAGTGAGTAAGCTCTAACTTATGAGTGCCTATCCAGGGACTTCCTAAGAATCTTTTTTCACAGTAATAATAAATGGAGCGACTAAAGGAATATCATATTAGAGTAAAAAGAAAGGGTGAGAGAGGTTCACCTTGTATAAGCCCCTCACTTCGCTAAAATCTTACCCCTCGGCCTACCATTGTGGAGAATGGAGAAGTTGGCTATCAAGATACAACCTTTACTCCTTTCTCCATGCTTCTTTGATGAGTGGTTATATAGAAAAGGGTACTTACTCGCAACAAATACTTAGGAACAACCAACATATCAAGGCAATCATTGGTCCTTTATTTCAAGGCAACCACTATTTAAGGTCACCTACATACCGACCAACATACCTAGGCAACCAACGGTCCTATATTTAGAGGGACAAGCAACATACCTAGGTAACCATTAGTCTATAATTCGAGGCAACCAAAACTTAAAGAGAGTCGACATATCAAGACAACAAATTTATAGTTTGATGCTCAAGCAGCCACCCTACCGACATAGGCAAACCGAAACACCGCTCACGCGCCGTACGCCACAAAGAACCCAGTCAACACTTGACTATTCACTCCCAAGCAAGCTAGGCAAGGGTGTGAAATCATGAGACGTAGCAGCCAAGTTCGCCGCCTCGTGTGTGGTTGAACAACCAACCAAAAGCATTCTGAAACCATCTCTCTTTTGTATGAGTGAGCCCTTTCTTTAATTTTAAAAAATGAGGTTCAAGGCCGCAAAATAAAATTAAACAAAAATTATGAGGAGTATTAATTAAAAAACTAAATACAAATTTAACAAGACAGGAACAGAAGTAGTAGAGGAAGAGGTGTATATAAAGATGAAAAAATGACTGCAATAAATAAATAAGTAAATAAAAGTACCTTCTTTTATAAAGAAAAAGTAGAAAAAATGAACCATACAGAAAACTGATTAGCCAATATTTCGATTCAAAATCTTAAAAAAATAAATTAGGTATCAAAATCTGAAAAAAATGAAAATAGCCGGTAAAATGTGTTAACCATTCTTGATTCCAATTACCCTTTAAAAATTTTAAAAAAAAAAAGATAAAAATATTCACACCACGCATGGATTAAATTAATAAATTAATAAATAAAATATTCACACCACGCATGAATATTCACACCACGCAAATATTCAAATTAGTAAAATAATTATATTCTCAAAATTATGTTTTGAAATATCTTCTGCTTTAGAAAACATGTAGCTGAATAATAGATTGATTCATTGGATTATTTGAGATTTCATTTAATAAATTTGTATATCCTCTTTTTATATGGATAGAAAACTAAACTATTTATACATTCTATAATAGTAATAGAAAATTTTGTTTGTTATAGTTTAAAAAAAATGTTGTACATAAAAAATGTTATACATAATACAATTATGGTTACTCTTTCTTCTATTATAAGGTTATAACAAATCTTTATTTATTATATTTTGTCTCAAAAAAAAAAATTTATTTATTATTTTTTTTATAACAAATCTTTAAAACATTTTAACCTTGTAAATGATAAGAACTTGATTTTAAAAATATATCCAATAGACACAAAATTAAATAAACCTTTTTTCGTAAAAATATAATTTTATTAGTTTTGCGAATAATTTATTAATTACCTCGTCGGCAATGTTGATAAAATATTTTTCAGCTTAATGTAATTGTAGTAGGAAATCTTACCATAAACGTTGGCCTCCACTAATCTTCATCATCACCGAGCAATTCGCCCAAAAAAACTGCACTAAATAAATACAAGTCAAGCCACACAATTATCAGATCATATCAAATAACAAGACAATGGACTACTGTTTCATGCAAGCCTAGCCCCTCTACAAATTTAGAGAAATAGGCTGAATAAGGCAACGACTACAGATAAAATCGTAATATAATACTAAACAATAAAAATATCAAATATTAAATAATATAAAACTTCTACACTAAATATTAGTAGTATTCCTACATTAAGAAAAAATGAAGGCAAGGAAAGTAGCAAATTGAATATGGGTAGCGCGCTCGCCAATTATTATTAACCTTCCCTCACCTATATTATTCTGTAATTGTACAGACTCAAATCATCCTCCCCCCTCTTTTTAATTAGAACATGACTTAATGACCATTTTAGATTGTATTGACATAAGACAGGGCTATTCTAAGGGAAGACAAATCACTTTACTAATCTTAATCTCAAGCCTACCCTTGATGGTGGATGGATGGATGTCCTTAAATAATCAAGAGGTCACAAATAAACATTTATCTTGAAATCAAATATTTATGCGAAGAATGTTAAAAGGACGTTCAAATAGTTCAAAATTAAGTCTCTATGCAGTTGAAACAGAAAAGTGGAGTAGTGGCAAACATACCTAATAGTCATACCAGACCATGTATGAACTACTTGAAGGTGTTTTGGTCACCCCAACACCAATACTGAAAATCAATGCTAGAAAAGGACCTCTGAAAAAGACTTTAAATAATCTGCACATCATAATGTCCACATTACAAGAATAGGTAAACTAAGAAATCATAGATCAAAACAGTCAAAATTGTAAACCACAAATTCTATCTTAAAAAATCAGTATATTGCATTGTCTTACATGGACGAAAACTTGGTCCGCAACGTTATTGCCTATCTTTATGGGGCCCAACCCCACCCTCGTTTCCCTTCAACAGGGGCTGTAGGAAGCATCATGGTTCTACATTTTATTATTTTGAGACCCGGCAACTATCTGGAACAATCTGATGTCTTGAAGAAAAAAAAACATCAATATGAAGACAAAAATGAGGAGAACCATGGAGGCATACTCCACATGGAAAACAAGAAAAGCATAACTCATGACTTTTACCAAAACCATGGAGAAATACTCCACATGGAAAACAATAAATACCTGATTGTGGGGACGGAGCTCACCGTGACAAATAAGGAGGACAAGCACAAATATGATCGTCGCCGAAAGTTGCTATACTTTCATCTTGGACAAAAATGCTAGTAGCGCCCTGCACAACCAACAATCGAAGGGAAAAACGAAGCTGGATTGAGAAGAGATATTCGAAAACTAGTACAATTGATAAGAGAAATCGATAACACTACTAGCAGTCTCTAGGGTTAGGCGAGGACCCGGACCCGAACTACTGCAAGCGCCACATCTTTCACTTGCTTCAGTCGATTGCACTGCTAAATGCAAGAGTATGTAACACATCCTTTATGAAAATGAAAAGACGGGAAAGAAAGTGAGAGAACCAGAACGTACAATGTCTGCACCCATAGTTGAGACGAGAGTTGGGAAATTTCACTGAAACTAAACTGCTCGAAGAGAAGACTGTGGAGTAGAGGGTTTGGGTTACCGCCATGGGAGTGGAACTGAAGAAGTGGAAGGAGACGATCCCCAGATAGAACCTTCCTTCTTCGTCCGTCCTCTACTGCTCCGGTAATTTCGAACATAATTCCGCGAAAGAAACGTGGGGGAAAAAGTGTAAAGTTGTGCCCTAATTTTTACCCTAACTGTAATGAATGAGCAAAGCCACGTATTTATTGAAACAAGTTTCCGCGTTTAAACCGTGTTTAATTTTTAAATTATTTTACCGTTTTTTTTAATCCTTCCGCGTCTGGGTTACGCAACACAGTTTTCGTTTTTCTTTCTTTTTCTTATTTCCTTTTCCTATTTTATTTTTTGGTGAATGTAGTAAAACATCATGCGTCAATCGGTGGATTTTTTTTTTAAATAATTATTTTATAAAAACAAATGACAAAACTCGTATAAGTTTCAAAGTAATTACAAAAATAGGGTAAATAAATTGTAGGGATAGGCTGCGATTTTGGGACGATAACTGCGATTCACTAGCCACTTCCCCCATTTTTTTTTATTTCGAAGTTAAAAGACTATCATCTTAATTTTCTCCCTATCTGAAAAATAGATCATGAATTACCTACAACATGATAGACATATTCTTGTAATGTAATAATTTAAAACAAAATAATTATAAAACAAACAAAATCCTAATTATAAATATCCCAAAATTTTGGTTTTTAAAGCCATATGTTTCGCCATGCAAATGAAAAAACATATGAGTTTCATGTAATTCATACCTTTGACTTTTAAGTTTTTATTAATTTAATAATTTTTTATCGATTTAGTTTATATTAAATTTAAATGTTTTATAGAACATACGAAGATGAAACACGATTAGCTAAATGACATTTTAATCGATTTCAATATAATTTTTAATTTTTAGACTTTAAATGACATTTTAATCAAAATTTAAAATAAAAAACAAAAAAAATTAATCACATCTCAATTAAATTTTGTAATATTAATAAATAACAATATATAAATTAAAATATTAAAAAAATAACAGTATTTACCTGACATGTCACATATATACGTTTGCACGGAAATCGCAGGCATTGTACGCGAGTTTTGACTTTTATTTTGAACTAACATTTGAATTTATTTATTTAAATTACATTTATTTTGTAGTTATTTTTAAAATTAGATTATTTTAAAACTTTGTCCTCAATCGGTTTTTTTYGGTTTTTTTCCTTCTTCCGTAAAGGAATATTAATTTAGTTATTTCCCAGAAAACATTATTCATTAATAAATCATTAAAATTAATGTAATAAAGTAAAATTATCATATTCTGATAAATTTAAGCTTTCTAAGTGGGTGAACATAGTGTTCTCCAAGATCTTAAATAATAAGTAAAATTGAGTTCCATTTTATAATTATTTTATTTTTGTTTTCTGTTTTTAAACATTATACTTCTTTTCTCAAAATTTTCTTGGTATTTTACCTTTCTTAAAAACTAATTTAAATACCAAGCCGGTCTTTTAAAAGGAAAACGAATTTTTAAAAATTAATTTTTTCAGTTTTCAAAATTACTAAGTTTATTACTATTATATTTTCTAAATTATGCTTGTTTTTTACCACTTTAACTAGTCCGTTCTTTACCTTTCTTAAAAATATATTTGTCTTAAACTAGTACAAAATAAAGGAGACCTACAATTAAATTTCTAACCAGCATGCTAATTTAATATTAATATAAAAAGGAAAAATAATGTACAAACATTGCAAGGAGCAAAATTTGCAGTCAATGTTATGATACTATCCATTAATTTATAACTAATTAACCAATTATACGTTTTCAAAAATCTAATGACTCGGTGCCCAAGAGTGACCCCTTGGCATACCATGGGCATCCAGAGGGGCCACTCTGGTTTATAAGAAATAATAATAATAATAGATCTAATGAGTGGGCGGCCTTGTCATTAGATTTCAAAAAATGCAATCAGGACTACCTTTTCCATCACCTAAACTCTAAACCAAACTCGACTCTTATTCTAAGGAATTTTATATCAGAACATTTTAGGGTAACATTAACTTTAACGAAACATGTCTAAAACTAGCATAATAACAATCATTATATATTAACTCCACAATATTGACCCGTTGAGGAATAAAAACTAAAAGACCGAAAAAAAAATGTGAAGAATGAAAGTCGAGTTCTAACCTGTCAAAAGTATCAATTTTGGTCAACACCTCATTAGCAGTACCAGCAATCTAAATGCAATGAACATATGAAAAAGATGAAACGGTGGCCAGACCCTGCACAAGGAAAAAGATGACGACAAATATAAGGCAACTTGAACAGCTTTTTCCTTGTCCCTTTTTGATGAGGTAGAAAGATAATAACATAGAGCTTATATGAGATAATCCCAACTTACAATTTTCTGACAACCAATCTACATCAGCTGCCACATCATCTATACAGTCAGCAACAAAACAAATGCACAACCATCAGCCAACTCACGGACCGGCAGCACACAATCAGAGCAATTAGTTCAACCTTCCCACGTACAGGAAACCTGTGATTTCTAAAGGAAGTCTGCTGCCCAATTGTATTTTTTTTTTTTTTTCTACTGATTTTTCTCCTTCCAGCATGATTAAAATTTTATATTGAGAAGATCTTGCAGTTTTCAGATAAGAGAAGGTACTAATGGCTGACCACTTCAACAAGATTTAAGTTGTCCCTCCCTACGTGTGACTATTGAGCCTGCTTAAGTCGTCTCTATATCCGACATTTGAGCTAATTCATTTCTTTATGTTGGATCACTTGGGTTATATTCCAGTAATCTCTCTTTACAGATTATTCAAGCTATGTCTGGGTCTTTTCTCTCTAGACAGAGAAGTACCTCAGGCTGACTACTTGAGGTCATCCACATATAAGAATATTCGGGCTACGTTTATATCTTTTCTCTCTTGGAAGAAAAGCACCACCAGCTAGCTTAGCTCCTCAACATTTATTCTTCTTCTACTGAAATTTGCCCCCTTAGAGCTCATTAATTAAATGCACAAACTCCAACCAGTAAGCCAGCCATTCCACCTACTTTACAAAGAAAGTCTGTCTTAGTCACAATAACCCTTTCCCATAAAGGAAGGAAAAAAAAAAAAAGCCCATTCCGACCAAAAAACACTGAACTGAAACCCACTAATTTTATAAAGTACTAACCGGAAACAGAAATAAATGGATGAACACCCCTCGTATTTTGATATGATATATTCCAAAATATCAATTCTGTTTGTGTTTTTTTCCCTGCAGAATCTGAATAATTCAGATTCGGTTTCTCCCCAACTTTTCAGAAGCCATCAAACATAGAGAGCATAAATAGCAAAAATAAAGAAACTAATATAAACGATCCACATAATCATAATAGTAATGCAACGTAGCAGCAAATGCAATCATTTACCTATGAACTTTTTCATTACAAATCAGTTGGGGAAGCTAACTTTCCTTCTAATTCCTCAAGGCTGCACAACATCACATTTTCAACTACTGCATACTGGTGAATTTTGGAGTGCAGGCTGCACGAGGCAACTCGTGAAATGTTAAAGATTAATTCCAATAACAAAACAAAAAACAAAATAAAACTTATACTCAAGCATTCACAGGGTCTAATATGCCAAATATCTAAGAAGAATAAGACAACAACCTACAAATATCTAAGCAGAATAAGCATTTTTGGTGGCTTGTTAGCACAGCGGTTGAAAAATGCTATAAGAAAAGAGGGAAAAAAAAGATAGCAGAGAGAGGGGAAAAAAGGAAGAAGAAAAAGGAAAGAGATCTGGAAGAAGTAGCAAAAGAAAAAGTGTAAAAAAAATTAATTGAGAGGAAAGAGAGAAGGGGAGTTAGAAAAAAAAGAGTCAAGATACCGACATCGAAGCAGAAAGAAATCGCCAAGTGTTTGCTGATAATGAACTCCCGTCTAGAGATGTCAAGGAAAACCTTTCGAAATAATTGGGTCTTGATGCTGAAAAGGTGAACAAATGGTTCAAGAATGCGCGACATACTGCACTAAGAACTACAAAGGCAGAGGGAGCAACAGAATCCCATAGGTTTATAATAAGACTTTCAAGGAATTCAGATTAGCAGAAAAGGAAAAGGCTGGTAATCATCTTACATCAGAGGGCACACATCAATAAAAGAACTGCAGTTGAAGTCCCGCAATGGTCTTTACAAGAAAAAGTAGCACAGAAGATTATCGTTTGTATACCAACAGTAACAAGGATGCTTTGGATTTTTGTGACGATATAAGCCTGAATAATATCCTAAAGAACACAAAAACAAAGGTATGGAAGAAGGTTAATTTTGTAGGTAGAAGCAGAGGTGGAGGTGAAGAAGCAGTGGTGGAGGTGTAGAGACTGTAAAATTAAGGACAGATTACAGATAATGAAGCAGAAATTACTTTTAGACTATCAAATAATAAAGATAGGTCGCGTGTTTAAAAAGTCTATAAAAGTTCTTCTTTGAACTTAACTAATTGGTTCTTTAGTTTGTAATTCCAGCCTTGGATTAATGAAAACCAACAACATATGATGGCAACAAGTATTTTGGGACAATCAACATATTAATGAAAACAGCCTTCAAGAGCAGCTTAGGGAGATTGATAAAGCATAAGGTATAGCCCCCCTTGTAATTAGTTAAGTTAATTAATTTTCTGATTGGTTAAAACCAACTTACTAGCTGTTGAAAAAGCAGGGTAGTTAATTTTCTGTTATGACCAGCTTGACAGCTTGTGTAAATTCCCCTGTTTGCTGTATATAAGGAGATTGATTGATTTTAATAAAATTTCTCCTCCTGATTTTACACCAGCACCCCTTCCTCCAGAATCTGTATCTGAGCGCTCCTACATTATGGATCAGTTCATAAACCTGACCGCAAAGGAAGAAGTGTTAGGGTGTCAAAAATGCAAATTAAAATGGCTAAAAAGATGGGGATGAAAACACTAGTTTTTTCTACTGCAGCTTGGCTAACAAAAGAAGAAAAGGGATCATCATTGAGTTATTATCCCGATAAAGGGACAATTTTGTTATCTGACCATGTTATCGAAGTAGAGTTCGTGAAGTTTTATTAAGATCTCTACTCCAGAAAATTTGACCATCGCTTCTGTCCTTGCAACCCTCAAGTGGGACCATCACGGAAGAAGACAACAAGATGCTAGAAAAATAATTCACAGCGGAAGGGGTTTACAAGGCTATTTTGAGTTTGGGAAGTAATAAAGTTCCTGGACCTGACGGTTTCCCATCAGAACTTTTTAAAAGATCTTGAAACATCATAAAAAATTGACATCTTGATTATCCCAAAGAGAGAAGAGACAAAAAAGACAAACAGTAGATGATTATCGGCCTATTCATCTCATCCCTTGTGCATACAAAATAAAATTATGGCTAGAATATTGTTGGAAAGGCTCAAATCTGTTCTCCCTCGCACAACCTCGGATTATATATCAATTAGCCCTTGTTGAAGGTACAGATTTGCAGAGCTCATAGATGATTGGAGAGTAAGGAATTTGAATGAAGTGGTTATCAAAGCTTGATCTCAAGAAGGCCTTTGACCAGATGGAATGGATTTTTGGTTGCAATGTTAAAAAACAAAGGCTTTGGGCAAATATGGAGGAATTGGATATATGTTTGTGTCTCCACTACTAGCTTTTCCTTTCTCATAAATGGTAAACCAAAAGATAAATTTAAAGCTACTAGGGGCCTTAGACAAGATGATTCCCTATCTTCTTTTCTCTTTATCATAGTCGATGATTGTTTGAGTAGACTCCTCCAGTCCTCCTTCAAGGTGATTAGAAATGGCCTTATTCAGGATTACATTACGAAGAACTTCTGTAAGGCCCCCAATAGTCAATACTTATGTTAGGAGGGGCAGAGAGGGAATTTCACCCCCCTCAAGTTAGTTAGTACTTATATGGGGAGGGGTGCGATAGGGACGGGGTATTTTTTGTTTGTTTAAGGAATCTAGGCAGGGAGAGTGCAGTCCTCTCGAATTGGCTGTGAAGACTTTTGTATGCCTTAGGGCTCTCTTTGCTTTGAATATCAACTTTTGTGAGGAAGATTCCTAACAACTTCCCCCTTGGAATGAATCACCTCCTCTTCGCAGACAATACTCTACTTTTCTCTAATAAGGGCCCTACTAGCATTCACAATCTCTCTCTTTCTTTCCCTTTTCTTTAAAATCAGAAACAAAGCAACACTTTCATTCAAAAAAGCCCAAATTGGGGGCAACAACCTAGGGACCACGGGACAAGACCTTAAGCCTTCCTTTAAACAGAAACTATAGAAGACCCTCTTTTTCGCTTCCTATTGTTGAAAGAATAGGATGCAAGCTCGCATCTTGGAACCACCTTTTCATTTCTAGAGGAGATCCATCATCCAATCAGTCCTCAACAATCTCTCGATTTATTATTTATTTTTTCCAAATACAAATACCAGTTTCAGCAGTAGACCTTTTCGAGAAGTTGATTAAAAATTTCCTTTGGGAAGGTCCAAAAAAACATTGGGAAAGCCCACCTCATAAATTGGCAAAAGGTTCAATATTCGAAGGTGGCCTCGGCATCAAAATATCAAGCTAAGAAACAAAGCCGTATCATCGAAATGGAGCTGGAGGTTACTGATCGAAAGGAACCATCTCTAGAGGAGATTTATTGCGGCTAAAAACAGGTCAATGCTGAAAGAGAGGATCCAAACAAACATCCCCCTACTGCAAATAAAAGGAGAAACATTGACAGCTCATTTGAATAATACCTCAGCAAATTTGTCTGCCAATCAGCATGAATTAGGCAAGACCTCCACCTAAAATTATGTAAATAAGATGACCTTGTGCAACTCATTAGAATTCCAATTACGTGCTGCAAACTCAGAGGGAAAGAAATAATTTCCTGCACATTTTCTCCTTAAATATCACCTTTTTCCCTTACTTGCACCAACGGCTAGATGGGAAAAGGTCTCCTAGATTTCTCAATATATATATTCTATTTCCTCAAGTGTTCTGAATTTCCATTGTGTGGCTCTATAAAGACTGAAACTATCAGTCTGTGAAAGAGAATGAGATTCGATTCTTTTCATCAATTTTGGTTCAACCCCTTCATGGTATCAGAGCTTTACCACGAAGGAATTCAACCACAATTTGATTCAAAAGACAGAACTCATGGCAATAACAGAAAATACTCTCAAAATCTAAACGTTTCACCAATGTTCCACCAGCTTGATCTCTATCAAATTGAACTCATCAAACTATCTCCTGTGGAAGTCTCAAGTGATTCCTCTTATTAGAAACATGGGGATCGAACAACATGTCTTAGAATATAATCCCCCTGCAGAAGAAATTAAAGACGAGGATGAAAATTTGGTGCCAAATTCTCAGTATACAACTTGGAAGCAATCTCCGAAGAAGTGCTGGCTATGGTGGATGGGACTGTAAACGCATACCAAATTTGGAATTCGTTGGAGAAACAATTTAACACTTATGAAAGAAAACGAGATCCATCTAAAAGAAGCACTTGTAAACATAAAGAGAGGGAGCCAACGACACCTAGAGAAAGAGAGGAAGCCAACGACACCTAGAGAAAGAGAGGAAGCCAACACCTAGAGGATTATTTGAAGAGGTTCAAATGTTTGTGTGATAAACTTGCTGCTATGAAGAAACTACTGGATGATTTAACCAAGGTTCTTCGTCTAGCAAGAGGTTTAGGTAACAAATACAAAGATTTTCGTATTGCTATATTATCTAAAGCACCTTTCCCTGCTTATAATCAGTTAGTGTTAGCATTGAAAGCACATGAAACAGCAGCTTATACTGGAAGACTAAGGAAAAATTTACTCAATCTATCGACCATAACCAAGCATTCTATATCCAAAGAGGGCGAGGCAGAGGTCGTGTCTCCCATCAAACACCAATTTCCAGCCAAACAATTCTGCCTCACCCCAAAGAATTGTAAGCGATTTGCAATATGAAACTCAATATCAAGCTGGAACAAACTTCAAACAAAGAAAGGTAATATGTCAAAAATGTGGCAGGTCTAATCACTCACTCGGCTCTGGAATGTTGGAGTAGATTTGACCATTCATATCATCCAGACTCAACTCCATAGAAGATTCATTCTATTGTTTCTCTCAAACCAAAATCTCCAAAGCAGGCCTACCACCACGTTAGACCAAAGAATTTTGGCTTAGCCTTTAAAATTTGTACCTTGAATAAGCTGGATGAAAGCCTCCAATGGATTAAAGAAAAAACACCAACTAATGTTGAAAGTTCTAAAAAGATCCGCCTAACACACAGCAGCAAAAGGGCCGTTAAAGTACAGGTGCCAGGGTCTTCTTCACTTTTCTAACAAAGCACACACCAATTAGGTTTCATTGACACACGAGTTGATAGTAAGACAAAGATTTTGCCTCTCGAACGCCCATTGATAATAACAGAGAAATTTATTGAACAAATGCATCCTCTAATCCATTTTCTCCACGTGACACCAAAGCCTTTGTGGCCATAAGAATCTCATCTAAGAAATATCAATAAACTTTGTCAAAAACCTTCTCACCATCAAGCTTTATAACAACGCCTTTTCTCTTTTTATTTGATACATCAATGAGCAACATTGGTTACATATTTTGAGGCAACTAATTTTTTGGGAACAACGTCGTATCGAAGCAACTATTGGTCCTTTATTTCGAGATAACCAACTTTTAGGGTCAATCAACCATGGAGGCAACCATTGATTGTATATTTTGAGGCAACATATCCAGGCAACTATTGGTCTTATATTTTAAGACAACCAATTCTTAGAGCAAACCGACATGTCCAAGCAACCACTGGTCCAATATTTCAAGCCAACCAATTCAATTTTTAGGGACAACTGACATATCAAGACAACAAATTGGTGTTTTATTTCAAGGCAACCAAATTTTAGGGACAACCGACAATATCAAGGAACCTCTTATCTATCCTATATTTCGAGCAAATGACCTACCGACGCAGCGAGCAGTATCAGTATGAAGAGCAAGAGCCTAATGCAACGCAAGCTTCTCAGACAAGACAAGGCTTTTAATCAAGGCCCGTTTGTCCCATGAGCCAAGACAAAGACGCAATGCTTCTATCACACAAGCAAGAACTGATTGGTTGTGGCCACTCGAATTGCTTCGATGCAAGTCCAATCAATGAAGAGGCATGCTGATAGTTTGATGCTCACGCAGCAAGCCTATCGATCCACGCAACCAATTCACCACTCATTCACCATATGCCACAAAGAACCCAGTCAACACTCAACTATTCGCCCCCCAACAAGCTAGGCAAGGGTGCAAAATCTATTTCTATTTGATGGGCAAGCCCTTTCATCGAACAGGGGAGCGCGATCGCAAGTGATCTCATCTAGCAAGAGGCAAGCACGATGCGACTCTACAAGCTAGGTTGTTTCTTATTATCAGAAGTCGAAGAATGAAAAAGCCATGTGTAACCCTCGTCGAAGCAAGCCAGCCTTAAGTTTGACTCGACAACCCACTTTCATTCCCTTCCACAATTGAAGGGCATGGGTGTAAATCAAATATGTTATCCCACAAGATGGGTTAGGTGGCTAAGCAACCATTGGTCTTGTATTTTGATGCAGCAAATTTTAGGGACAACAGACATATCGAGATAACAAATTTTTAGAGACAATCGAGATAACAAATTTTTAGAGACAACCAACATATTGAGGCAATCATTGGTCCTTTATTTCAAATCAACCAGTACTCACGGAAAATCGCCATATCAAGGCAACACATTATTAGATTGCCAACATATCAAGGCAAACACTGGTCCCCTTATTTCAGGATAACCAATAATAACGGTCACCCGACATATCAAACAACTATCGGTGCTTTATCTCGAGATAACCAATATTTAAGACCAACTGAAATATCTAAGAACTTAGTGGTTCTATATTTTGAGGCAACAGATCCTTAGAGACAACCAACATATTAAGGTAATCATTGGTCCTTTGTTTCAAGGCAACCACTACGTAAGGTCACCTACACATCGAGGGAACTATTGGTACTTTCTTTCGAGATAACCAATAATGAATATGAACCGACATACCTAGGCAACAAAATTTAGAGACAAGCAACATACCAAGGTAACCATTAGTCTATAATTCAAGGCAACCAATACTTAAAAGAGAATCGACATATCAAGACAACAAATTTATAGGGACAACTGATATATATTCAGCCAACGACTGGTCTTATATTCCAAGGCAAAGAATTTTTTAGACAATGCTAACATATCAACACAACTACTGATCCTTTATTTCGAGACAACAAATTTTTAGGATCAACCAACATATGGTGGCAACCATCAATCGTATAATATAGGGCAATCAATCTTTAGGGACAACCAACATATCCAAGCACCCATTAGTCTTATATTTCAAGCCCACCAATTTTTAGGGACAATCGAAAAATCAAGACAACAATTGTCATATATTTTAAGGCAACAAACTTTTAGGGATAACTGACGTATCGAGGCAACTATTGATCCTTTATTTCGAGACAACAAATTTTTAGGGTCAACCGACATATGGAGGCAACCATCAATCGTATAATATGGGGCAATCAATCTTTAGGGACAGCCGACATATCCAAGCACCTGTTAGTCTTATATTTCGGGAAAACCAATTTTTAGGGACAATCAAAAATCAAGACAACAATTGGTCTTATATTTTAAGGCAACCAACTTTTAGAGACAACCGACATATCGAGACAACTACTGATCCTTTATTTCGAGATAACAAATTTTTAGGGTCAATCGACATATGGAGGCAACCATCGATCATATAATATGGGGCAATCAATTTTTAGGAACAACCGACATATCCAAGCACCCATTAGTCTTATATTTCGAGCCAACCAATTTTTAGGGACAATCGACAAATCAAGACAACAATTAGTCTTATATTTTAAGGCAGCCAACTTTTAGGGGCAGCCAACATATCGAGGCAACTACTGATCCTTTATTTCGAGACAACAAATTTTTAGGGTCAACAGACATATGAAGGCAACCATCAATCACACAATATGGGAAAATCAATTTTTAGGGACAACCGACATATCCAAGCACTCATTAGTCTTATATTTCGAGCCAACCAATTTTCAGGGACAATCGACAAATCAAGACAACAATTGGTCTTATATTTTAAGGCAACCAACTTTTAGGGACAACCGACATATCGAGGCAACTACTGAACCTTAATTTCGAGACAACAAATTTTTAGGGTCAACCGACATATGAAGGCAACCATCAATCACATAATATGGGGAAATCAATTCTTAGGGACAACTGACATATCCAAGCACCCATTAGTCTTATATTTCGAGCCGACCGATTTTTAGGGACAATCGACAAATCAAGACAACAATTGGTCTTATATTTTAAGGCAACCAACTTTTAGGGACAACCGACATATCGAGGCAACTACTGATCCTTTATTTCAAGACAACAAATTTTTAGG